CATGCTGCAATCCCTTCTCCTCCATTCTCCTCTTGGGATCTTTGGCACGCACACACACGTGCCTGGCATGAGTTTAGGCCACCGGGTCGGGGACTCAAACCGTGGTTGACTACATGGGAGTCCAGTGACATAGGCATTATGCCAACTGCTGGTCCCATCATGACATAGCTTTCTGTCAACTTCAGCCACTGTTTCTTTTCTCATGCTGGGCAGTCAAACAGAATATGAAGATGGAATGGTGTAATAAGTACATTTGAATGTCTTACTAACCAAGGAAGCCAAAAAGCTTCTAAGTAAGTCTTACACACATATGTTAAGGGAACTTCTAAAAATTAGTGGGAAAAAAATAAAAAAATAAAAATAAAAATTAGTGGGAAAAATGGAATTAAAGTATGTGTTTATTTTAGTACAAAAACAATTTGAAACCTATGCAGCATTTTTTTTATAATATGCATTTTCTGTGAACTCTTTGATGACCCCAGATAGAATAAAAACAATGTGATGAGCCTGCAGTGTGGTAGTTAAGGCAGCTAGATCCTACATAACTGACTGCACGGTCCAAGTCCTGGACCCAGCAGCTTGAAAAACACCCTGGTACATGTGTATGCATGCCCAAAACCCTGACAGAAGAGAGAAATGAAGGAGAAGGGATTGTGGCAGAGACCATGCCCCATGAGGGTGGTACACTCTCACTTTTCCTCCTCTTTCTCCAACAAGGGCATGTAAATAATAAAACAAAACAAAAGCAATAAAGGCTATAATTTATTAAGTTGTGCAATAGACTTCTAAGACTGAGTACTTCTTAAGTACCAGGATAGACTTACATTTCAATCAAAGACTGATCAAGGTTAAAAAGACCAAATCCCAGGCACTTTGTAGGCCTGAGACTTACACGGGCATCACAGGTAAGGTATAATGAAAACTGGTGACATGAGATGGAAGGGTAGGGAATGACAACTCTCCTTCTGTGAGCTTTGGTGGCAATTCAAGCCCACAACCACTTTCTCAGGGCCTCAAGGACATGCCCACAACAGCAGCCTGCCATGGGCACAAAGGTCATTTCTAATAACATCTTCTTGGTATATTGGATTTTTGGGAAAGTCACGATGCATTTTTGCATAGAAAAACTAAAAAATACCTCATGACTTTCCCAACAACCTAATAGCATGGCCACACCAAAGTCAATAATGTTCTTGAAATTATATTTTTCTACTGCCCTGTGATGTGTTAACAAAGTACAACAAAAGGGAAGGCGACAGAAATGCCTATGGGGTGCCTCCTTTGTCTTAGACACTTTCTCAAATCAGCAATTATAAGCAATTATAAGTCTTATTTTGCACATCAAAGGTGTGAGGGTCAAAGAAATGATGCATTTTGCTAAAGGTCCCAGAGTTGGAAAGTTAGATTCAGCACTGAGACAAACTTTGATTGATTCTAAACCCATCACTCTATTATAACATGTGGCGTGTTATTAAATAATAGGTATAATAATCATTGAGATTCTGCCAGTGACTGTATCGAGTATTGTGCATCCATCATACTGCTTAATCTTTGAAAAACTATGAGATAGGTTACTATTACTAATCTTTTTTTTTTTAAGAGATTTTCGTTATAGGGCACGTACGCTCGCCAGACAGACAGAGAGAGACATAGAGACAGAAAGCGAGAAATCACCCCCTAGGGGGGATGGTCATGCTGCAATCCCTTCTCCTCCATTTTCCTCTCGGGATCTTGGGCACGCACGCACACGCGCCCGGCGTGAGTTTTAAGCCACCGGGTCCGGGACGCGAACTGCGGTCGACTACGTGGGAGTCCAGAGACATAGCCATTACGCTCACTGCTGGTTCCTACTATTACTAATCTTACAGACAAAATTAGATGAAAAATAAAGGTTAAAATATATGCCTGAGGGCCAGCCTGGTGGCATGGTGATTAAGGCAGCCGGATTCCACATGGCTGAGTACAGCTCAAGTATCAAACCTGGCAGCTTGGAAAATATGCTGGGTGCATGTGTGTGTCCAAAATCCAAGAGAAGAGATTGTGGTGTGGCCACCCCCTGTGAGGGCTGATTTTTCATTTTCCCTCTCTCTCTGCCATGCATCCTATAGCAAAAACAAAGCAAAAGAAGAAAAAAATAAAGCCTGAATTTGCAACCCAAGTTTATGTTTAGTTACAGCCTCGTGCAGGTATCTATTAACACAGATGACAATGTGTGTAAAAGTACCATGACCGGGACCAGCAGATGTTGTAATGGTTATGTTGTTGGACTCCCACGTAGTTGACCATGGTTCGAGTCCTGGACCCAGCAGCTTAAAATTTACACTGGTCCGTGTGCGTGCATGCCCAGAATCCCGGGAGGAAAATGGATGAGAAGGGATCATAGCATGGCCATCCCCCCCTGGGGGGAGATTTCTTGCTTTCTGACTCTCTGTGTCTCTGATGAGTGCATGCATTCTATAGCAAAAAAATCTCTCTTACAAAAAAAAAAAAAAAAGTAACATGACAAACAAGTACATCTAACTGCGTTAAGAAGATACGAACTGTATTAATATTTGCTAGATCCAGTGGTACCCATGCCAGGATTTAAATAAAACCATCTGGAAAACTAAAGAAAAGCAAACAAACAAACAAAAAAAAACAAGTACCAAGGTCCCACCCAGACCAACTGAATTAGAATCTCTAGGAGTGGAAACTGGCCAGTTTTTCCCCAAGTTCCCAGGCAGCTCTAATGTCCAGCCATGTTTGAGTAAGACTGTAAAAATGAGTGATTGAGAATGTAATCTCTTATTAACATACAATAATTGTGCACATGTGTGGGGTACGAGGTTCCAGGACATGATACAATGTGTAATGCTGAGATCAGGGTAATCAGTACACTCATCATTTCAACCACGTGTTATTACTTTATATTGGGGACATTCTAAATCCTATTTTTTTGCTACTCTGAAACACAGTCAGGTTGTGAACCACATTCATTTCACTGTATTTTATAACCCTGGACACTATTCTGTCAGTAATTTTGTTTCTGTTCATCAACGTCACTCCATTCTACCCAGTTATTCCCCCATCTCTCCCAGCCTGTAGTAGTCATTCCTCAGCTGTCTACTTGCACGAGGTCATTTTAAAAATTTTTCACATACAAGGGAGAACAGAAATACCAATTTCTCTTTCTGTGGAGAATGACAGTTTGAATCTTTCTCATGCACTTCAGCTAGGGGGCTTGGTGTGCTCCTTAAACAGCACCTTCCTCACACTCACCGCAGCGTGAAGGGGAGGTGGAAGTCGTATACCGACAGCACGGGAATCACGGCTGAGCCTCCAAGTGGGTTGTACAGAACAAAGAGTCACTGTCTCAGCAAATTCCGTCCTGCACCTGCTCATGTGGTATGCATTTTCTATAGGCCCCCTCCTAGACACAGCCTGAAGCCAAAGTATCTTCATGTCTGCACAGCAGCACAGCACCCACATACCTTCCGAAAGGTATACTGTTCTCATGGCATCCACAGCATCAAACTGAATGGTGACTTCCTCGTTAAAGGGCTCTATTCTAGTATAAACATGCTTCCCTACTTAAAAGCTAAAGTAGAAGATGGAAGTGGAGTCTATGAGTACTTAGACACATTTCACAATCTTCTCTGCCTGGGGAGAAAAATCAGCAAGAACCAACAGTTTCTGAGAAAACACACACAAGAGGTACAACGAGCAAATCCCAGAGCTTTATCCATTTAATTTTAGTTAGTCCCCAAGAAAATATCTCTTTTTGGCTGTGTTTACAAATAAGAAAATAGTTCTGACTATCAGAGTGGGCATCCCTGCTTAATGTAACCATAGAAAAGTCCCTAACATTTAGGAATCAATTCACTAAAGATTTAGAAATAATGGTTAAATTAGCAAGCTTACTATCTCCCCTTGTCACTAAATCCTACTGATATTACATCAACCACCAGTCAAAACTGGACTCCAACATAGACCCTTCCCATAGCAGACAACAGGAAACAGCTCCCACTGCCAAACACAGGACAATCTGTGCAGCAAAATAAAAGATGAATATATTAAATTATAACCCATATGAAACATATCCATGAGTTCATACTCATGCAAATAAACAATTAAAGAAACAATTAAAGAAACAAACGAATAGGAATAAAGAGGGAGAAAGATAGCCCTTCCTTACAGAATAATTCCCATTAGTAAATATAATAAGAGGAGGAAAACAGGAAATCTCTACTAGTTAAATACCACAGTAAATAACTGTTGCAAAGCAAAATCTCTGATAGATATGAAAATGAGTGGACAAAAAGCATAAGATACATGACATTTGCACACTGTCAAAGTATCTCCCGACAAGATACTTAAGTGTAGAGACAAAAATAGTAAATTCACAGTGGAGCTTAGCAGACACCACCTTAACCAAGTGATAAAAATAATCACCTATCATGAGACATGTTGAGAGTATCTGCTTACTGATACGATGAACTGAGAAAGGCATTTTTATGGTATTTTCATCAAAATGCACAATTGGATTTAATGAGGAAATACCAGACATCCTAAATTGAGGGACGCCTCAAAATAACTGGGCTGTACTCTGCTCAATTTGTTAAAGTTATGAGAGAACAAGAGAAACTGAGGAACTATCCCAGAGTGGACACCAAAAGAAACTGACCATTAAAGGCACGATGCGATTCTGGACTAGGGTAAAGGACCTTGGTAGGACGAATGGCAAAATGTGGATGAGGTCTGTTTCTCAGTTAACAGTGATGACTGCGTTGCAGTTACAGTTAAATGTGTACAAAAGGAAACATTTCAGGAAGCTGAGTGATGGAAGGAAAAGACTCCCTTTGTTACTATTTTTGCAACTTCTAAGTCTACAATTATTTCCAAATGAGTTTAAATAAGTAATGGACTCCTTCCTCCATTGAGACAAATGTAGCCTCATAAAAAAGATATAGATTATTTCAAAATACAGCACGGACTGCTTTGCTGAAAGCTGCACTGCTCTCAGCATAATGTCCTCAGGCCACACAAGAGAACAGCCAGCACTGCCTATCCAGCACCTTCAAATAAACTAGAAATCTCCCAAAACATCTCCTTACACAGCACCCCATCCTTTGGTTTTCAATGTGCCAGAGAGCATATGGGCTCATAGGAGAGAGACACAGGAAGTGACAGAGAGGGAGAGGAGAAAATACCCATCAGCGGACACAGTCCTACTACAATCCCATCTCCTCCATCTCTCCCTCCTTCTGGGCCTGGGGGCACACACTCAGGCACCCAGCACGTTTCTCAAGCTTTCAGTGCCAGGACTCCAACTGCGCAGTCAGTCATGTGCAATCTGGTCACCTTAACCACTAGGTCATGGACTGGCCCCCATCCCATTTTAAAAAATAAAACCATTTTTTAAAATGTTTTCTGTCCCTGAGTGCTCATAAACAACATCCCCAGTCTTTTACCTAGCGTCATCCTCCCTCACTCATCCATAGAGTCCCCATGCACCTCTCTCCTACCCACCAGCCTCAGCCAGGTGGGTGGCACAGTTTTCACAGCACTAAACATGGGCATTCTCACCTCTGTGCCATGACCTCTGTTCTGTGCTCTCCTCCACGTTCTTCGTTCTGCCCTTCCTGCAGTCCATGCAAATGTGGCATGAGCCCCTCCTGGCCCTAAGCCTTCCCTGACTCATCTCATCCTCCACACACTGTAGCACTTACCTTTGTTTGCCACTGAACTTAGCGCTTCCCAGCTCCATTCGTAGGTATGTGCCAGCTCTCCTCCCACAGCCTCATACCCTGCAGAGGGACTCCTGCTGCTATAAACCTAAAACCTCCACAGTGGGTGGCGGGGGCTGACTGTGCAGGTGAATTTTTCCCAACAGCTCCATGTCTGACAATCCACTGAAACTCAGGGCACGTTGTAGAGTATGATATTATCACCTCGAAACCTACAGAGCCCATTGTCGCCACCACCCTGCCACTGCCCCCATCCTTCCTTTTTCTCATCTCCCAAGCTGACCTTAAGTGGCTGTGCATAGAGTATGCATAGACAGAGCGCTGGAGTGTGTATAGGTGGGAACTTAGTTTTAACCACTGACTAACTTACATGCTTGTTTTATTTATTTATTTTTTTGGAGAGGTTTTTGCTATAGGGCGCATGTGCTCACCAGAAAGACAGAGAGAGACAGAGACATAAAGCGAGAAATCACTCCCCAGGGGGGATGGCCATGCCACAATCCCTTCTCCTCCATTCTCCTCTCGGGATCTTGGGCACACACGCACAGTCATCCGGCATGAGTTTAAGCCACCGGGTCTAGGACTCGAACTGCGATCAACTACATGGGAGTCCAGCGACATAGCCAGCATAGAGTATGCATAGACAGAGCGCTGGAGTGTGTATAGGTGGGAACTTAGTTTTAACCACTGACTAACTTACATGCTTGTTTTATTTATTTATTTTTTTGGAGAGGTTTTTGCTATAGGGCGCATGTGCTCACCAGAAAGACAGAGAGAGACAGAGACATAAAGCGAGAAATCACTCCCCAGGGGGGATGGCCATGCCACAATCCCTTCTCCTCCATTCTCCTCTCGGTATCTTGGGCACACACGCACAGTCATCCGGCATGAGTTTAAGCCACCGGGTCTAGGACTCGAACTGCGATCAACTACATGGGAGTCCAGCGACATAGCCATTACGCTATCTGCTGGTTCTGACTTACATGCTTGTTTTTAAACTCAAGATCCATGCTGGTTCTATTTCATGGTCAGTCTGTGAATGCCAGGAACATGCACCCACAATCCTGGCAGGCTGGAGGGCTGCGGGAAGTCACGGCATAAGGCCTTGTTTAGGGGAATGTTCTCTCTCCCTCTCCCTCTCTTGATCTTGCTCTTTCTCTTCCTCCCTCCACCACTCCCTATCTTTGTCCCTGTCTCTCAGTAAAGAATTAAGCTTTAAAACAAACATAAAGATCCACTAGAACACCAATTACTTTATCTGTAGTGGAAAATACTTAAACTGATTTGTTATCAATAGGAGAAAGTTCTTTCACTTCCTATATTACACAAGTCAGAAGTGAGTAAAAGAAAGAAATCTTGAAGTAGCCACTTTTCTTCCCTTCTTTAGCATCTAGAAACAAATTAGGCTCTTAGATGTTTCTCGTCAAGTTGTACATAAATTTTGAAATCTGCACAACCATGAAAGTGCCAAGGTAGAGTCTCCTGGTGGAAGTAAGAATTTAGAAAACTAGTTCTACTTTAACTTTTTCAATTACTCAGCAAAGATGAACAAAAACTTCAGAAATGTAGCACCGAGAAAGGACCTCCTGGTCACTTGGTCCATTCTACACCCTTCATCTAAACTGTGAATCAATTGGGAACACAGATTCGGGGCCCTGGGACCAAACCCAGTTATCTATTTTCATAAGTAAACTTTTATTGAAACAAAGAATGTCATTTTGTATATAGCAGCTATATAGCAGCTCTGGCCATGACGTGGACCCAGTTAAGTAGTGGTCGACAAAGTCTAAAGTACTCATTCTCTGGCCCTTTTACAGAAAAGGTTTACCAAATTCTGGTCTAGATTACCAAAGTTTACAGAGCAGGGAGAGCTCTATAATCTCCCCTAGAAAGTAATTTGGTGTTTATTCAGTTATTGGTAAAAATTCTTTTCATTTCGAACCAAAATTTTCTCCCGCTGTAATTTAAGATTATTTCCTCCAAATCTGTTTAAGGCAAACTTCCATCTTCACTTACATTACATAAAAGCAAGAAATGGTAGTCCAAAAATGCTTCGAACTAAGATGAAAACAGACAAGAACTGGAAGGGAGGGGTACTGGTCAAGGGATACAAAGCTCCGCCTATCCAGGAGGGGAAGCTGTGTGCTATGTCCTGTGTGGAGCGGTGCACCCGTAGTGAACACGGCAGGACGGTGTACGCAACGTGCTCAGAGGGTAGATCCTATGTCAGCTCTTCTAATCACAAGGGAAGAAACTTGTCAAGGTGACGGTGAGGGCTATGGCCTAGATTGTGCTGATGGTTTCATAGGGGTACACTCGTTTCTAGACCCACCAAGTTGTATATGTTAAATACAAGGATACTTCAAATATTCTTGGGAGGTGGAATTAAAGGACAAGTTCAGGCCTAGCCTAGGGGATGCAGTCTGCAGTGTCCGGGACCACAGTGCTAGAAGCCACATGACCCACCACAGGTTCAGATCCCTGGTCTGGTCAACCTGAAATGCATCAGGTTGCTCAATATCCTAATGAGCCAGAGGGTTGGAGAAAGTAGGTCATGGTATGGCCAGACCCCATTGAGGGTGCTTCTTTCTCTTTTTCTCATAAGTACATGGGTATATGTGTTATCTACCTTAATTTTAAAAAGGAAAGATTAAATAAAGTACAAGTTTATTTTGATACAAAATTATTTAAATCTATGCATAGTTTCTTCACAATACTCTTCTTTCACAGATTTTCTTTTCTTTTTTGGAGAGAAATTTTTATTATAGGGAGAGTGTGAGACAGAGAGAGACGGAGAGACAGAAAGTGAGAAATCAATCCCCGGGGGATGGCCATGCTGGCAATTCCTTCTCCTCCAGTCTCCTCTTGGGATTTTGAGCATACACGCACACATGCCTGGTGTGAGTTTGAAGCTACCGGGTCCAGGACTCGAATCACAATCGACCATGAGGGAGTCCAACAACGTAACCATTATGCCATCTGCTGGTCCCCAGATTTTCTTGAAGTTCCTGCTTAAGTGCAACTTTTTGTATGTCAATCATACCTTACTAAAGTGGTTATAAAACAAAAAAGGAGTAATTACTTTTACTTACTCCTTTCACATTGGGAACTCCCAACCTATACTAGAATTTAGACAAGTCTAGACTGATGCTAAGGGCCATATAGTATACAAAAATGCTAGTAAATCTAGGCGTACAAGATGTTGTTTCAAACATCTTTTTCACTTTCCTTCTCTCTCTGTCTGACCAAACTGAAAAATAATAATAAATGAATTTAAATAAAGTAATTATTTTTAAAAATTACATAGAGAACTTAGAATAGTGCCTACTATACAGTAAGGGCTCAGTGACCACTGTCAATGCTGAGAGCTCAGCAAATTTTACTACATTAGGTACATGAATGTGGGTCTCCCCTACCAGACTGTAAGCTTCTCGAGGCATGGGACTGCATCTTTTTAACCCACATCCTAAGGCACGGTGAAGTGCCTGGGACAAAGCAAGGCCAGAGAGTAGAACACCAACAGAAGTCTCTGTGTGAGAAAGAAAATCCTCTTATTGGCCACATTGCTCGGTTAAGTTTTACACCAAGCAATTTTTGGACATGGGCTCATTTATTCACCACTTGGCACGTGAGGGTTAGGTCCTATTTGCCACACTTGGGAGTCTAGAAGAGCTAACTTGAAATTGCTCAACTGTAAAAAGGTTTTGGGAACCAAAGTCCTTCCCTGAATGGTATAGAGACTCTAGCTTCTGTCAATGGCAACAATCTGCCACTGCCACTGTTTAGACAACCAGATACAACTGGAGTTCTATAAGCAAACAACAAACAGAAAACCTGTAATCCATTCTAAACCTATATAATTTTTGGTTATAAATATACATACCCAAATATTTCAGTAATTCATTTTGCAATTCAAGAGGATTGACATTAACCTTAGCAGTCTTCAATTTCACAACTTGTAAAGCTCATGACACACTTCCAGGGATGTGACACAGATCCTCCACAATTTTGCAAATAACCTAACAGACGTGCTGTAATCTCACAGGCAGACTTCTAGTATCATAGAAGGCTCTCCACCCCCTTTGATTTAGCTCCTGTGAAGTCCTTTAGGGTAGTTAGAAACTCCACCTCTCCCCTTGTGCAATTCCAGTTTAAAAAGTTAACCTCTTGACAGAGGTAAGAACAGTATCTCTTGTAAGTCGACACCTTACTATTTGTCACAAGGAGTAGGCTTGTGCCTTCCTTCTTTTGGGCCCCATCACAGATAAAGCTGTTAGCTTTGTTATCCTTACTTATTTCACAAGTCCTCAGTTAGCTGGTCCTTGCATCTTGCAGGCTTGTGAAACTATCCCAGGTCACACTTCCCTCCTTCCTCTTATGTACACATCTTTGTAGAATCTGTGGGTCCCACTGAAAGCTCACTTGAAAGCTACACCAGCTTCTCTCACTCCCTTCTTTTAGTGCATTTGAAAGTCTAGTACACTGAAAGTTTCCTTCATATCTTACGCTACATTTCCAGCTATGCTACCGAAACTATCACTGCTTTTAGATTGCTTCTTCTCATCTGTCCAGACAGCCTTTATTTTTGCCTAATAAGTCATCATACAGCCTTTCCTCAAATTGCTACCCGCCTCCCCACAACTTCTCCCTCTGCCACAAAGACCCAGTATAGTCCCCGTAAACATAACCAATGATCCCTTCAGCCAGAATGAGAAATACAGCACATACCCGCTGGTCACCGGGGTGTGTTCAGGTGTTCTGGAATTCAAGGGGATCTTCTAGATCTCTGGCTTTCCCTGGAAATTCCCTTGCACAGTAGCAGGCATCAGCACCTGCCAATCTGTTCTCCCTGATCTTTAGGAACCTCCCACAGAGACTCCTGAAATGCCACTAAAGCCACCTGGCAAATGTTACCCTCCTCAGGCCAGCGTGACTCATCTCCAGATGGTGCTAATTAGCGGTAATCTACAGCCTCCTTCCCGGTGTGGTCTGTGGACAGTGGCACCAGCATCACCGGAGC